GACGGAAGCATCATCGAGATGTCTATTGCTCTCGTGTGAAGCGGGCGCTTAGGCAGAAAGGGTGTTGGGAAAATGGTTGGACGAAATGAAGGCAGTTTTTTGTTAGGCGATCACGGAACTTTTTAATTAATCGGAGTTTGTTAGAACTAGATTTTTAAATACGGTGGACGCGATTGTACTTGCAACTTTGAATAGAATTAGCAAAAAAGCGATACACAAGAAAGTTTTCCATTAGAATCGATCATTTAGAATTTCCATTCAACCGAGACTGTTTGAAATTGTCGGGACGGTGGATAAACGGCAGTTCAAATCGTGACACAGCAAATGTGGTGGAGGGGAGGTGGAGCAAATACAATCACCGCTGGGAAATTTAACCGCTCGTGTACTACAATCGAAATCAGTCGGGGCCCTCTGCTGTGGGAACGCATTGCTTGTACAGTCGCGGGCGAACGTACACGACTGTACAAGCACGTAAGCAAATAAAACTTTGCACATAGACATCGCAAGACGTAAATGCGTCTGAATGAAGTTACACTTTAAAAAGGGTTGTATTTACTGTCGAGTTCGAAAATCAAGTAATAAATTCATTAAACCAACGAGCATCTTTGTTCGTGAATGTACACCAATGTAGTGGGAGCGACCAAGCAAATTACACCTCCGATACGTATGAACTGCAAACTCAATGACTTGGACGAACTTCAAAGACCCCATTTAAGTTTTGCGCACCCTATACCCGTTACAAGGGCGGAAATGTTCGAGAACGTCACCGTAGTGATTAGTTTATGGTGTCGAAGTACTTCTAATAATAATATTGTGCATGCAAAATGCAGGACTCATTTTTGGGGTTGAAATGACCCCTTCAAACCGTCGCGTGAGAGTTATGAAAGCAATGTATTGCATAAATGAATATTTTATGAATATAAATGAATAGAGGTCGAGTGTCAAGAAACTTGGATTTTTTTTTAATGTTTTAAAGAAAATTTATGAATAGATGGGCAGAATAAGCACCAAGCACGTGAATACATTGGAAGTCGACATAAGCAAAATTAAAAAAGCTCAGGTAATCGCTAACATAGGTCTTAATACCTCTCTTCTTACACTTATGTTAAGTTAAATCTCTCATTTTAAGCATGTTGGCCAGTTCGTCATAAAAAACAAACAACGTAAGGTATTAGAAAAAAGATTAGTTTAAATCCGACATTAAGTAGTCACTCCCTCGACGGATCGATCAAGAGCAAATCACGAGCGCCCTCGGGGCAATCCGACGATCAAACAAAGGAACAAAACACTATTATGCAATGCATACCGAAAGAGTAGGAATACATCTATCAAGTTTGTAGCGTTACTGGAACATTCCGTTCAAGTACAATACGAGTAGGTAGGTAGTTGCTATTGGAAAATGATTTTATTTAACCATGACCGTTGATATTATAATAGCGTCATAACTAAAAACCATTATTGAATTGAGTACCTCATCTTGTTGAGGGAATCTATATAAGAGGGAATTTATAACCGAATAATGAAAATATTGGGTAGTCTGTTAAGAATTAAATTGCATTATGCGAAGGTACCATAAATCACAGACAATTACTAACGAAGACGCCCTGCTACTGACATTTTACTAATATAAATGTCATATTCAGTCCATATTTATAGAGATAAGTCAAAGATGTTACACTAATGCAAGAAAAGGAGAAGTTTAAATATTGATTTGAAAAATTCAAAGTCATCTAGCGGAAGGGTATGACAAAAAACTGACCGAATGACGGGCTAATCTATAAAGGTAGAGCGTTAATCGCTGATGTGAAACTGGAAATATCGACAGTCGACAAGGTCGGTCATACGCCTGCTTAGGATCAACTATTCAAAATGGACTCGTTAAACTCCTGTAGTAAAATTTTAAATATCACATTACGAAAACATGAATTAACCCGAAACCCACACGATCCGAATCGCAGGAAAGAGCTAAATACTAAGCGAGCACTGAAGCGACACATCTGAAACCGTTAGCGGAACGTGACGTTCCGCGTGGATAATAGATGAAACATGGAAAGAGTTAATCAACCTCTGATTAATTAACTCGTCATAAGCTGTAATTTATCCGAGTATCCAGACAGGAGTTATGACGCTAACGTTATGCTTATCGACAACCCATAACTACAGACCTCTGCAGACGTTAAAACAAAGAAACATTTTTCACAATCATTTTCCAATTCCAATGGAGTAGGCAGACGTCGATGCTTCTGTCACCAACGCGTTGGTCCGCTTTGACATGGTTTACAGTGATTTATGCACGATATGTAGGAAATCCGTAAAGTTTAAAACTATCTGGTGGGCGCCATTGAAGGATGAGATTCTTGAATCGCAATATAGACGTTTTTTTTTTTATGTGAAAAGTTGCCAAACGCGCAGACGGTTCACCAGATGTTAAGTGAATATTACCGCCCATGGACATCTGCTACATCGGAGAGTTACCGTTGCGTTAGCAATGTTTTGCAAAATTGGGGTCCGGCCACCTCACTCACCAGACGAAACGCGAAAGTGTTATACTTCGACTTTACGCCGGTCTTCTTTAAGGTCGTGGTACTTACCCGGAAGAGCATGCCCGTTCGTGCAACAGCCGAGGCTGCTGCCTGGCCCTACCACCGTAAACGTATTTGCCAAAAACTAAGCCAAAAACTAACTGAAATAGGAATTATCTCAGTTTAAATTCGTTGATTTCCCGTTTGGAACGACGATAAAGTCTTCAACTTTGCCCGTCTAAATGTGCTCAACTGTGCAAAAAACTGATAACCCTGATCCAATAAGAGAAGTGATAAAAATAGATAGTAAATTACTCGTGAACTGTATGTTATTTAATTTTTAATTCCGATTTAGATAACACACCCGTTACAAGAGGCTACACTATTCTCATGATACATTTAAAAATACATTAAAAGAAAGTTATATAAAGCCAGCTTATAATTCGCCTACAAATAAATTCAATACTATGAACGTACTCAGTTGTAAATAGATAAGGGCCATTAAGTTTTGGCGTCTGTCAAAAGGAATTCCCAAGCGTAACTTGACATTTTATCGAATTCCGCTACGGATTCTGACAAAACAGACAGACTTACGGCCGGTTTCAATATTCCATCCATCAGTTGATTTGGTTACTAGGGATAGATTATCGACGTAAGTACTGTGGAGATAATGTCAAATAGCAATAGCTAGTAACCAAATTACCGAATCATTCCACATTTATACACCAACTAACCAAGTTAACAAATAAACTGATGGATTACAGGGACAAGAATAATCCGCCACAACAACACTTTGCACAATAACTTGTTTCGACTAAACTCTTCAAAAAACATTATTTTAACCTTGAATATTCCACGTTGAGCCGTGCCAAAACTGTAAATGTGGGTGTCACATGGGAATAAATAGTAAGTATGGCACATGCCATTTGTAAAAATCCATACTAATATTATAAATGCGAAAGTAACTCTGTTTGTCTGTGTCTGTTTTCACACCAAAACTACCGAACCGATTTAAATGAATTTTGGTACACAGATAGTCTAGCGCCTGAGAAAGGACATAGGCTATTTTCAATTAGAAAAACTAAAATACTTATACGAAGAAAGATATTTATTTAAGGGCTTCAACGCGAGCGAAGCCGCGGGCGAAAAGCTAGCAAAAGATAAAACCAGTTTCAAAAACGAAAAGGATTCATTTCTTGTCGCCAGATCTATGCAAAAAGTGCTTGCAATATGTTGATATCACGTGGGAATAGTGTGTTTGGATTTACTTATATTGATCAGTATTTTATATTAAAATCTTATTAATATTGTAGACACGCCTCATCCTGGTTGTTAATTTGCGAGCATTTTTTTTTAAATGTGAGAAGGTAGCAAGCGCGCTGGCATTTCACCTGATGTTAAGTGATAACCGTTGCCCATGGCAATTTCCAACACCCGTAGGGTTGCAGATGCGTTGCCACCTTTTAATAAAGTGGGCCCCGGCTACCTCACTCGCTAGTTGAAACGTAGAAGTGTAACACTTCCACTTCACGCTGGTCTTCTGTAAGTTCGTAGTACTCAGAAAGACTGTTGCGTGGCTCTACCACGGTTTAAGTTATGGCTTTATCCAAAAGTATATATAAAAGTTGGTGCACTATAATGTAGTCATTAGATGCAGACTTTCCAGCCCTAGTATTAGTCACCTAGTAGTATTTATCACTCGAGACATTTGACACTAAATTTCAATTAATTTCATTATAACCCCAATACGATACGTCTCTTAATCGTGACCGATAATAACAATTATCGAGAACGTAAACTGATTTCTTGTTAATGTACATCACATCACTACTCTAGGCCATAATAACACTTGTTCAAATACTAGTTGATCCACAAAATATCCACAGTTAGCTACTGCAATCCATCATAGAGGTTTAGGTAAATCCTTTTTTCAACATCAGACTCCCATATCAGCAAGGTTTCAAATGACGCAATGGTTGCATACGAAAAATTGACATTGATAGCGAAAATGTCAAACGAGTATAAGGCTGAATTACAATTGAAAATATCTATCTCTAGATCATAGATTTATTTATACATAAAAGCTCATGTTACCATTCGGTAGATAGGAAGCAACTGTGCAACTCCAGTCCCGTGGATCATCCACTTATTTCACTTCATTAAATTTCAGGCAAGTCCCCGTGCTCATAAAATAGAAATATTTTACTTTTAACCTCCCACGGTACTTTACTGCAATTCTGTTGCTAAGGATTGTTGAATAATCAATAGGATTTGACGCCTGAGTTTGACTACTACGCCATGAAGTTAACGACCAAGGGATTAGAATGGATGGATCACATACCCTACTTTCCTTCCATGTTGGTTGTATGAGTATTATTTGAAGATACTCCCCCCTCCCCAGTACAAAAAGTATGTCTTACTATAATGTCTAACGTATAAATTATAAAATATGCAATTGTAGGTGTAGGTGAAACTCACCACAAGCGACAACCTGTGGTGAGGCGGCGGCGGCGGCAGGCGCGATGGTCTCCGGGAGACCGCACATTGTTCCTTCTGTGCACAGAAAAAAGTAAAATATATTTTTCTTTATACCTATATTTATATATATGTTATTCTTCTGTACGTGTGTACGTCACTGAACTCCTCCTAAACGACTGGACCGATTTTAATGAATTTTTTGTGTGTCGATGCGAGAATGGTTTACATTCACAAACTTATTCGAGAAAGTCTGAAAGTTTTGGATTTAAGACGTGTGGACGGAAAGACGTCTGTCGGGTTAGCCGGTATAAGTACATACTTCTTACGAGTATCTATACAAAAATAAACTCGCACCTTTTGAGCCTCTCTTCAATACATTTGTTTTATTTAATACAGTGTTGTTTCTCGTAGTAAGCTACATAAAATAAGTGGGCGAGCTTTTTTTTAGAAGAAAAGTAGTAATGTAGGTAGTAAGTAAAGGATGCCAGCTCTACATATCACAAGTTAAATTATTATGTTATTAAAACGCTAAAAATGAGTATGCAAACTTTTGTACATTAGCTGTTTACATACATATTTTGCGTACATCGGTAAAGATTATTTATATTTGCTGTTTGTGATTTTTTTATCGTTATCGTGAAGTGTTTTATCACAATGTACTGGCATCTTGAAGCTAAAGCGTTGATTGACAGTACTTTAGATAGATACCCCCATAAATTTGTATTTGCCTCATTGCTTGCAGCTTACGAAAATGCCCCCTAAAATTAATGATCGTTGTATTAATGATAATGAAGAAATATAATATTCAAGTGAAATGTTTTACTTGACAATTAATTGTGGCTTGATAAACTGCTTTTTCTGATATTTTTATGATAAAATAAAAGCCTATATATGTCCCACAGCTGGGCAAAAGCCTCCTTTGTACAGAGGGTATTGGGACATAGTTAACCACGCGATCCCACTGCGGATTTCAAACTTCACCTATCTTCGATAACAAACAGATTTAGCCTCTAATTGTCTTTTATATTTACTCTCATATTTGGTTATCAACCGAAATCTTTGTGAACTTTTCAATTTAGTTTAATTATTTTTTTTATATCTCACGTACTAAAACCTCATTACTGCATCAATTTGCCAACAATAGGTTCATCGCCTGGCACGTCATTAGTGTTGGCATCATTAATGATGGATTATTATTGAAGTTTAACATGAGAAGTACCGGCTAATTCTATCTTTTCTTTTGTTGCAAGGTCTTTTCGCCCAGTTGCTTTTCCAATTTGGATCTTTAAGGTTTTCATAGGTTAGGTTACTCACTTGTTGGGAGGGGTTTAAATGTTAATACTAATTCTTATAATATACACTCACCACGTGGACGGAGAGGGTTGGCGCAGATTTGCCGAGCGCCGACCTGCGCATGCGCACGAGGCTTCCGCGCGAACCTTTACTGGCATCTGTCAAAAGGATACACAAACAAATTAAGTATTCGGTTCTACTTTACTGAAAACCTTAATCAACAATCAACCCAAAAGAGAGAACAATAAGTATAATAAATACCCTTCGGAATATTACTCAGTAACTAAGGATTTTGACATTTGTTATCAAATGTCAAAATTAGTTCAATTACAAAACAGAAAATACCCCGAGGGTCATAAATTGAGTGCAGTCCTAAAAGAACTTCCAAAAACCCCTGCAGTCATTTAGGTACATTTTACTTTTTCAAAAACTACTAGTAGAAAATTAATACGGAAATAATAGTCTGGAAACAGTAATCGTCTCTGCGTAATGTTCATCATACATTTCTTCTTTGATAAGCTTTTTTAAAATGTTTAAATATCGCGTATGAATAGATGACAGTCAAAGTAAATTGGGAAAAGGATTGGATTGAAAGCAAACTTTGATACTACGCGATACATTATAGGAAACATACAATAAAAGCGTACAGTACAAATCTGCACCACAACTCAAGTAAGCTTAAGGACGTAACATATAAAGTAAAGTAAAGTAACAGCCTATAAATATTATGCTGGGCAAAGGCCTCCGTATGTAAAGAGGATCAGAGCATAGTCCACCACGCAACCCCAATGCGGACTTCACATATCTTCGAATATTTTTTTGTTATTATTTCGAAAATATGCAAGTTTCCTCACGATGTTTTCCTTCGCCGCTGAGCACGTGTTAAAAAAGTGAGCACGTGCGAAGAAGGTATATATAGATTACAAGACCTGATAGAATTTCAAACGATTTGGCCTATTCAAAATTTTAAGGTATTAAGCAGTTGGAACGCAAATGTAAAAACATCAATAATATCGACAGTTACCAGCGCAGGAATTTCGATATTATTACACTCGGGAACTGTCACTATTTTCGCGTGACTGTTTTTCCTTGGCTGACGTCACACGCTAGGACTCCGGTCGCACCCACACCGCGCCCGAAATATTACGTGGGCTAATAAAGAAGCCGCGGGTAGAAGATAGTACTTAATATTTGTGAAAAAGCAATCAATACGTGACGGATACAAGTGCCAGATCGTAAAGAAAATTCTATCAAACCGTATCGATGATGCTGGCCCCATGCCAATAGCGCGGTTGGCATTCTATTAAACCGAGTAACTCGTACAATATCGACTGTCACGTTTCAATTACTCTCTTAGGGTGCCCAAAGAGTTTGAAAAAAGAAAAGAATCTTTTCATTTAATCAACGAACTCAACTATGTTGGCTATAAACCGCGTCATTCCGTAATTTGTCATTAAAAGGTTCAGTGTTTATAATGTTTGTATTAACATTTTATACATAACATGACAAATTTAAAAACGTAATAATTCCTAATGCTATCATAAATACACGACAAGTAGTTTTATATATATTCGCGACGACATCTAAATATAATGCCCTTTGATATACTCTCCGGTTTTGTGAGTGACAAAGTGTAAAAGTCTAAAATCTCAAAGTTAAAACAAGAAATGGAAAACAGATGTCCCCTATCTCCCAAATTCGGGGAAATAAGGTTAAAGATAATTTCGTCGCATTATAAAATTATAACAATGTGGAGCCACGATAAGTATAGTTAAACTGACCACCTCCGACCCGATAAGTATACTGAGATATCGTATCGAACCCAGAGTTCCCTTTTACTCGTCCTTACCTTAGCCTGCTTGCTTTAGCTCGGATCTCTACGGTACCCTAACAAATACAAACAATCAATCTTATTATCATCTAGTCTGATCTTCGTCTAATCTCAAGTTAGCAGCTCAGCGGAATGAATGATGAATTTAAACGAAAAGTTAAAAGTAAACTTATGGCTAAAGCTTATTATACTATTGCCGAATATTTTGACGACGCCAATGTGTGGGGTTAATACTGTTGATACTCACGTAGGCTAAAACAAGACTATTATACCTGTAACATTATATTGTAAACTGACCTTTTAAAAAAGAGCAACTGTTGAGTTTCTTGCCGGTTTCTTCTCAACAGAAACATATTAATTTCCTTGTAAAATATCGACGTTTCATATAATTCCCCGGTAGTTGGCGCAATGGATCTACCATTCATCACTACTGAGCTTCACGATGATAAAATGGAATATTGTCGTCTATCGAAATGTGAAGACGAACGGGATTTTCTTTGTTTCAACCAAGAATTGTCGTTATTGAACTGTTTATATAAATAAGATTGGTCACCACGCGGCATTTCGCAGTTGCACGAATGGGCAGGTACGTCCGAGTGAGTACCACGAGCTCGCAGAGGGCCGGCGTGAATTGGAACTGTTACATTTCATCGTTTTTTATTTTACATTTAACTGTTACATTACAGCATTTCATTTGGTGACCGGGGCCCACTTTATTGAAACATGGCAACGCATCTGCAACCCTACGGGTGTTGCAAATGTCCTCCGGCGGCGGCTATCGCTTAATATCAGGTGAACCGTCAGCTCGCTTGCCATCTTTTTACATAAAAAAAGTTCCATTTGATATTTTAAGAAGTATATCAATTGTCAGCTCTTTGCACTTAACAGTTGAACTTGAGAACGCGTCGCGTCCTCAGACATGGCACTGAGCCAAACGGGCGTGCAAAAGAACGAACGGAAACATGTGTTCTCTTAATCCAGATGCAATAATAGTATTAATCCAGATGCAAAAATAATATTATTATTAAAAAAATAATAGTTCCTTCTTAAACACCTGCAGCTAAATCAATATAGTAAAAATCTACCTTCCTAATGGTGAATTGATGCATTTTTAGTAAGGTCCATTCTGCGTTTTCTATCAGCCTTTTGTCCATGGCGGCTCAAGTAGGTATTACATTTTGTTCGAAGTTAAAAACATGTTGGTAAACCGATCCTATAACGAAGAAGTGTCCACGTGTAAATACACATGGTATGAGATTTGGAATGAAAAGGACACGATTAATCGGGAAATTTAAATTGCTATAGCCCTAAAGTTCACGATTGATCTAATCGAGAATATTCCATACACAAATCACCATTCATAATATGCTTCGTTCAAAAACGATCAACTTCAAAACAAATAATTACGTTTTAAGTTGAAAATAAAATTAACACGCGATTAAAACCCGCAAAATAGTTTTATTTCACATTGTATAGTATTCGCGTAATACAAGAAATCAATAAATAGATATATAATTATCAATCACACAGCTCAAGCCGTAGAAGAGTTAAACACGAAACGGCCGCCTTAGTTGTATTGCGAAATGCACTAACTCACTTAACGCCATAAAAGTGAGCCAAGGTGAGTGGAGGCTTCTAAATGAGTCTGACCCCAATTACCTGCGGCATAGAGTCCAACTACTGCAATCGGTGCAAATTCCTGCGAGTCTTACCATGTGGCCGCGCTAGAAAGGTAAAGTACCCACCCGTATATACACGAAGAAATGTAGTGATTTCTTTTATCGCGATTCTCTCTCGGTCCACGCCTATGATATATCGCTCAGTTTATTTTGATATTTACGCATTAATAACTTGTAGTCATTAGTTTTGGTTTCAGTTTAGTTGCAAGCTCGGCAGAGCCATTTACGGAGACAGCTTAACGAATAAAAGTTTTTATTATGGTCCGTTATAATTATTTATGAATATTTTTGTACAAAACGAATGTTCCAATTTTTTACTTTTACCGCCAAAAATTCAAATATTGCATTCCATTGAAATAGCGATAGGCAAGGGGACGCATGCGTCGATATTTTACGATTTGAAATGTCGCCTAAAACGGGAAGGACCTTTTGACTTCAACTGGGATTTATGGATGAACCCCGTTTTAAGGGAACCATATATTTAGTGATCTGAACCTTGATATTAAATGTATAATAATATCACAACTAAAAAGAACCTTCATGTATCTTAAAACCATCAAGCAGTCTAAACTGCAAAGCGTACAAAAGGAATACACGTTCATAAATACATACGTTACAAGAACATTAACCTACTTCCAAGTGACTCGAGCAATAATAAATAATGATAATCAGCCCACATAAAACTACAAATCACACAACCATAAGAGGTGAAAAAAATATACAAATAGCGAAATCTATTACATACTGTAGTGGCAGAGTTATTTCAGAACACAACCTACATGATGTGAAAGTCAAGCCAGTTTCAATATACAGAAAACCAGCTGCGAACGCGTTTTATTATGAGTTCCACTTTGATAGCGTCATAAAATACATTGCTACTAGGTTTACATAACACGGTGTTGTTCTAGAGGTCGGGATTATATTAAATTTATGATTAAAAAGTTTAAAATAAACCTGCAAGCCCGTTGAATCGCTGAAATCTTAGTAACGTATAAGCCTTTAATAAGTACTATTTTTACTACGTTGTTGTCCAATTTATGGTTTTCGTAATTAATACGTGTGATATATAAGATAACGTACAATTCAGATATCTATCTCTAACGCCGATAAAAACTTAATGAAATGATCCCATTACATACAAATACAGATTCTTAAAAATTCAAACCATATATAAGTATCGACAACGAATACTGGTTTCCGGATTGGAAGTAGGCAACCATTTTTTTACGTGAAATGTTGGCAAGCGAGCAGGCTTGGCATCTGATGCAATGTGATTACCACCACCCATGAAAGTCTATAACACCTGACGAGATCCAGATGCGTTGACAACCATCAAGAAAGTGGGCCAACCGTTAAAGCAAGCATATAGAAAATCTGGCGAAACTATATTTATGGATATAACAGGTTCGTTAAATATTAGTTATTTTTAGTTTATTATTAGATTATATTTAAATTGTTTAAGTGTAATACAAGCTGAAATCTGAAACGGGATGTTTATATACTTTAAAAAGCAACGTACATTACTCACAGTTTAATCTAATTAGATTACTCGCTGATGCCAGTTATAAAATTAGTATGTCATTCAGTCTCGCTGTAAAAAATCAATATGACATAGCATTAAGAAACGAAAGATATAACATCCTCGATTGAATACTTAGAATTCAAATAGCAAATGTTCATTTTTGATAAGCCACGTCATTCGCAAAATAATTTTAGCAGATTTTTAATAAGAATCTTAGCGGCAGCCTGAGCTGGTGGTTCACTTGATATTAATTGAAAACCGCCGCCCATTGACATTTGCAACACCACTTTGCATGTGCGTTCACACCTTATAATAAACACAGTCCCGGCTACCTCACTGACCAGATAAAACGCAAAAGTATAACACTTCCACTTCACGCTGGTATTCTGCCATGTCGTGGTGCTTACCCGGACGGACCTGCCCATTCTTGCAACCGCGAAGACTGGTACGTGGCCCTACCACAGTTAAGTTTTAACCACCCCACTGGCGGGTAAATTGATAGAAAATAATAGCACATCAGATACCATCTGAACATTCAACACCCACTCAATCACTTAGGCAAAATCTTTCAAATTCATTTTGCTGGTTCAATGGTCTCTCTTAAAATAAAATGTTAATTCGTATGATATAAAAAGTATCATTTATGCACAGTTTATATTCTAGCAGTTAACTATAGGCTTATTAAATGATTACCACTCATGGACCACAAAAGTGGGTTACAGCAACGCTTCCAAGCTTCGTAGTCGTTAGACCCCGGCTACCTCACTCACAAGAGCAAAATTCCAAAGTACCTAAGGTCTCTTGTGAGACCATGGTACTAATCTGTGCGAGCCATGAAACAGCAAAGTGTATTTCTACCACAGATAAATATAATTACGCTTTCATAATAATCATACAATACGTGGCGGCTTTGATTTTACTTCAATAGCAGTGGATTCCAAATGATCCTCGAATAGCGTAAATTTTACACTCAGTGTCAATTTTAAACCAAATAATACTGCCAAAAGGAAATGTAAAAGGATATGTGTTTGCCAAAACTATTGTTTTCTCTTTCAGTGCTCGCATGCGGTCAGATATATCGCTTACATTCGAACCGTTACAGTCATCAAACATCTCACGCCAGAAGGAGCAGAATTAAGAAATCTAAATCGACCGTTCCCAGCACTGATGTCACTCCAAGCTTTGATGTTATGACGACATTCGCTAAATCGGCCGCCGACGTAGCGGAGTCGATTGGAAATAGGATCATGTGGGCTAGCTCGGGCCGCGTCCAAATGTTCCCACAAATAACCAAACGGTTGTTTGTAAACATAACATTAACTCCGGGCACTTTACGAGGGAGTGGCATATTGGAACGTTGATTAATCGCCTGGTCATAAAATGTTTGACCTTGAGATTTAAACATAGTGCATAATTTGTTGCTGCTGGGATCGCAGATTGCTGACACCGCTCTGAGCCGGTCTGTTATTAAGAATCTTATCACTTAAGTATCACTTGGTGTGTTGTAAAGCTATCATTAAAATGTGCAGAAGAAACGGAAGAAAAGTTATGCGCCGGTGCGGGAATCAAAACCACGTCTTCCGGGCGCTTTAAACGGCTGATTACCACACCATCGAAAATCTCAACGTCTTTTGACCCGATTGGCGTGGGTAGTAGGTAGTGAACGTGTCTCTTGCGCCAGAGGGTGTGGGTTCGATCCCCACAACTGGAAAAATATTGTGTGATGAACATCGTGTTTTTCCAGTGTCTGGGCGTTATATATATATGTATAATATGTATATATTTACAAAAGAAAAGTATGTTTAAGTATGTTTATCAGTTTATCTAGTGCCCATAGTACAAGCTTTGCTTAGTTTGGGACTAGAGAACGTTGTGTAAAAGATGTGTCCGATATTATTAAATATTAAATTAAATAAAATTTTATCTACCTACATTGTTTTATCCGCATTTAAACTTGGCATATCATCTTAAATTTAAGTAAAACTATAAATCAACAAATAAAGTTTGAAGGTTATATTACTATTAAAAACTTAGTACTAGATTTTTAGTCACCGCCGTGAATTAGATAAAATTGCTGATTTCAGATCGCAAAGATCGCAAACTTTACCTAATCTTATATATAAAAATGGATTGCTGTTCGTTAGTCTCGCTAAAACTCGAGAACGGCTGGACCGATTCGGCTAATTTTAGTTTTGTAATATTTGTGGTAGTCCAGGGAAGGTTTAAGAAATTATGTAAAAATTACATGGAAAATCGAAATAGCAACAATTTCATTTTCCCATACAAACAGTTCCTACCTGTCAAACATTTAATGGGTGCGTTCCGTTATGTGTTCGGCTTCACAAATTCCCTAGAAATAATTTATATGGCAAAACAACGTTTGTCGAGTTAGCTAGTCAATGATAATTAGTTCATATACACGGACTGAAACTGAAGGGGTGTTTGAAGCGATCTCATCTGGCGTCGTGGATAGAACGGTGTTACTAATTTGACACCCTGTATAGTATATTTATAAGAGCGACAGTTTTTGACGAGGTTATTAAGTGTTTTTTTTATTATATAAATAATAGACTGCTAAGAGAAACTAAAAAGTGCAAGTCGGGATAACGCACGAAGGGTTCCGTGCCATTATCTATAAAAACGATAAATAATTCATGTCTATTGCATGGGAGACCCACTTAAATATTGTTTTTGTTCTGTTTTTTAGTTTTGCTGTTATAGCGGCAACAGTAATACATCGTCAACAGGTGAAAATTTCAACCGTCTTACTATCACGGTTCATGAGATAAAGCCTCAAAATGTGCCGTCTCAATGCAAAAAGTCGACAACAGAGATGCAACTCGATCCATCTATCAGATGCGCCCTCGTGAACTATTTGAGGACGTGCCTAAAGAAGAACACTCGGCTGGCCAAATATTTGTAGATACGAAAACACCCGTTTAGCTTCATAATTCACGCGAAGCGTTGGCTATACGGGGGCGATAGGGACTCGGGTGCCGTGAAATCGTAAATCACCAAGTGTTAAACCATTTGGCCTTCAGGCTTCCATAACAACATCATTCGCAACTAACACTCGACGCGTAGATATCAATTATTCGGTATTTTTTTACTAAGTTAGTAAAAAATACTGCAGGGTGAGAGATAACTCTCTAACGTATGTTGGCGCTGGCAACACTGTATACCGGATATGACGTTATCTACTCGAGCCAAGGGACACATGGTCGCATGGAGCAGCGGTCACTGGGATTTCGGTCGCGTTCCCGGACGGTGATATAACCACTAGTGCTGCTTGTCGTTATATATAATAGTTGTTAATATTCAAGTCCAGTAATAGTTAAAATATTAGGATCAAGGTAAAAACGTTAGAACTCTTATACGTAGAAGTTTACAGTTTACAGTCACAAATCGAAAAAGGACAAACACTCGGATCCGGAACAATTACCTGTAATGCATAGAAATACTTCTTCCACGTTGAAATCGAACCCAAGCTTGTAGAGTCTATCGCTAAGCACGTTCGCACGTGCTTAGCAAACGAGTCACCTCTCCAATAGATTGAAACCATCTATTGGTAGTGACACAAACCAGTTACCCAATTCAATTACTATTCTTAAATATAACGCATATGCATTGTGAATATTTAAATTACCGCGCTTTCTATTCCCTTTTACTCGAAGCACGTTGTATAACCAAATTAAAGCTGCAATTTACAATCACTGCCGATAGAAGGGTTATGGTCCCCTGGTACCACGAGCTGAAGCAGCCATTCAGTTTAACATTTTAGTTTAGATGGTATTAGGTTTTAGTTCCGTGCAAACTATTACAACATACGTTATATATTCGTCGTCCCCAATTTTGGAACGTGATGAGTTTTAAGAACAACATAGAGGAACTGGCATCTATGTCACATAAGTTTACTCTAACAACAACAACTCTACAACGTCAAAGCTTTGCCAACTATGCTAATTGGACGTTTTAGTTGGGAATGCGTAACATGCAATGCGATATACATTACGTTATATCTACGCTTTTTAAAGCCCGATCATGACACCCTTATCTCACCTTCACAATGTTGGCGAATGAACGACTTTTCGGAAAATTATTATAATATTTAAAACATATGTATTAATTTAATAAACATGTTTTGTTCTTTTTCCAAAGTGCCAGCCGTAATTTGTATCTATGTTTAGTGAGAGAGATATATTATAATCTCTATCTAAGTAATTATCAACTTCGATATCGATTATTCCAATTTTAATGCTCTGTATTCATTAACATCTCAAAATCAATAAGGTACCACATAAATTGTTACATATGTCGGTGTGGCGGTGTCATCATTTTAAATTATCTAAATAACAGATTAGAACACAATTTAAAAAGAATCACTCAATTATTTAAGCGAAATCAATAATTGTAACTAAATTAATAAATGTGGCGTGATCGGTGCAACTTCAAACGATATTAGTATAGACTCATGACTCCTAAAGCACCCGTATCATGACCAGGATGCATCTGATATTTTAAAGAAACATTTAACTTCAACAGGAGAGCTTATACTTAAAGCCTGGCGCTACCTCACGCGCCAAATGAAAAGCAAAAAAATAAGTAGTTTTAATATACCATGGTCTTCTAAAACGCGATTGTTCCCCTAACGAACTCGCCATCTGTGATGTAAGAGCTACTAGGCTGTTATTTCTTTAGTAAAAAATACGCGACATACATACAAAAAAAATATAAGTGCAAATCGGACTCGCGCACGTAGGGTTCCGTACAATTATACATAAAAAAATCATGTCTGTTCTATGGGAGCCCCACTTAAATATATTTTATTCTGTTTTTATTATTTGCTCTTATAGCGACAACAGAAATACATCATCTGTGAAAATTTCAACTGTCTAACAATTACGGTTCATGAGATACAACCTGGTCACAGGCGGACAGACAGCGGAGTCTTATCAATTCAAATTCAATATTTATTCAATAAACTCATATAGAAAGCACTACACTTACTTAATAATTGTCAAAACGCTACCATCGGTTCGGAAAAAAAGCCACTGACATGAGAAGAACCGGCGAAAGAAACTAAGCAAGAACTTAGTAATAGGGTCCCGTTTTATCCTTTAGGTGCGAAACCCTAAAATACATCAAAAAAAGAAAAATGTGAGATTTTTATCGAATCTTACTAGGAAAACAGAAAACGACAAACAATCACCGTGTTGTTTGTCATCGTTTCAATCTTCGATTACCAGGCTCTCATAAATCATCGCGTGTAAGCAAATACGAGATAGACTTTCACTTTCGCATACTAAGCCCACGTAACGTCAAAACGTCGTCGCTCGAAACTCGATTCCGTTGTAATTAACCGGGCCGATATAAGAGTAGATTAGGTTGTTAGTCATCCCTAGACCGGTAGGCGTATGTCCCCGATTTCTACGCCTAACAAGCTATCTACATTATCTCTATTACATTATAGCTATTACATATCGAGATCGATAAGACGTTTCAAAGGAGATTTACTTAAAGAAACAAATTATAACACAATAATTATATGTGCATTTCAAATAGAGAGTTCAACAAGTTCATATATAATTGTATTAACGAAAAACAAAACCGCCTTCGTATATCTCGCTCTGTACTCATTTTATAATTGAGTTTCAGTAGATCCCTAAGTATCTGCGGTGCCCAAGATTCAATACCAATGAAATTAAATATGGGACCACATGGGAAGCAGCAGCTTTCAAATAAAAAAAAAAAAAGAATCATCAAAATCGGTTCATTCAGCCGAAAGTTCTGAAGTAACAAACATAAAAAAAAATACAGTCGAATTGAGAACCCCCTTCTTTTTTGAAGTCGGCTGAAGAGCTTGCCGTAATCAGAATAAGAGGAGCGATGACTCGGTGGCGCAGTTGCTAAGCTATTGGCTTCGGCGTTGGGAGTCGTGGGTTCAATTCGTTTGAAATTTCAGTGGCTTTTACAGCTTTTAACTCGGAAAAAGTCACGGTTCGTGTGGAGATAGGTATGGATCGTAATCAGGCGATGGTTTTAAACTCGATAGTGGTGCAAGCAATCGGAAAACACGTGGGTAAATCAGCATAAATTGTTGTATGTGTTTGTTTTGTATAGTGTTATATATAATATCCTATATATATAGCGTTTCAGAGCTTATTGTATAATATATATCTTTTGTGTGTATTTGCATTAACTTCGTTCACATAAATCCATAGTGCAATTTTATTTATTGCACCTACCAAAGATTTCCCCACACGCCCCGGCTTGACTGATAGAGAATGCTATCTATTCTATCCACCTATTATCAAATCCGCCCTTTTAAAATGTGTTCTCTATAAAGAA